CGTCACAAATTCAGTCTTGACCTTGACCAGGAGGAGCTTAACACGTACGGCCAGACCGGTCAGAACGGTGAAATTGTTGAATGGAACACAAAACGTTTGGGATTTGGACCTATCTGACCGGAAAATTTTGATAAAATTAGAATGAGGTCCATTTTCGCTAGATATTTGAGAAACATAGACAAGATCTTTCCATTGATACAGAGATAAATCTTCGGGTCTGACCGGTCAGGCCATTGAATGGAAAGCGCCCCAGGAAGCCTCATTCAATCGCCGTATCAGGTCTAGACTTGCTCCAAGTCTCTCTTTCATTGCCATATCGATCACTATATAGTGGATTGATACTATATGACAATGAAAGAGAAACTTGGAGCAAGTCTATATCAGGTCATGATTCGCGAGAGTGAGGCTCCCAGGCCAAGAAAGTATTCATGACGTATATATCAAAAAGGTGTATTAGGAAAATGAACTACAGAACAACGACAGTAAACAGTAACTGCAATATGCCCACTTCAGAAACAATACATAGCTAAGGACATAGGCAACTGTTACCACAAGCAGCACGAGACACCACATTGGTATGATATAGCAAGCACTTTATAAAGAGCGATATCGACACAACTTTAAATCTTTACTCAAAAAGTACTCAAACGATATCAAACTTCCGAACTTATATTTGGAAATTAAAAGAAAATGGACAAGATTTTAGTATAGCTTGATCAATCTTAAAACATACAATTTTTTACACAGGAGGATAAAAAAGATGAGTGGAGAAATGAAAACTTTGTATCATGGAACGAGACTGAATTATTTTTCGGAATCATAACAACGGAATCGAAGAGTGGGTACTAAGCTGCTTGGCAATTTAAGGTCAATCGCAGTGCAATTCCATGGTAACACGCACTTGAGCTGCAGACTGACCGGCAGGAAAACGTTAGTTAGAAAAAAATTAGAAAAAAATTAGAAAAAAATGGTTGGTAATTTTTTAACAACTCTTCTTGCACAGGTATATATAATGTTCAATCTGGGCTTAGTAACTAGTTTAGCTTTTTACCATTTAACTCTACTTGTTGTTTTGTATCAGGTTGGTCTTCACATGGGACTATAGTGTTCTGTTGACCATACCTTTATTCTTTAATCAAGACATTGTTATATATTTAATATTTTATAGCACTTTTGTATGATTGTAAAGTTAATAAATAAATAAATTAATAAATAAATAAATATTACTCTGTGCCAATTTTCATATGTACAGTATAACATGCAGTAATATATATTACCTGCTCAAACTTTATAAAGTGTCTTTGGAACGCGTAGCCATGCACATATTTTGACTTCAGTTATCATGCCAAATTAGACTCTGCATGCATGCCACATGCAAGCCTGCATGTTTTCGGTCATGTTCTTCAATATATGTATAGCCATTTGGTTTGGAAAACTGATCACTTGATGTTTGTAAAGGACGATAAGAAAGAAAACCTTGCAACCAATCTACATCAAATATACTATCAATATTTGACCCATTTACAATTTTGGTGAAAGAATTGTAAAACTAATAAATTTCCTTGTTAAGTGGCTAGGAGATATATCCAAGCAACTCTATACTGGCAATAATCCAATGCAATACGCATGTATAGCCTTAAAGCCAAGAAATGTATGGAAATGACAATTGATTTTAGAAAGCAAAGACGGTGATTCCGCCACTCGATCTGTATTGCATGAGATCAGTGGGACTCTGCATACGATCTACAATGGAAATCAAACATGGCGGAAAATATCATAAAGAAAGCAGCTGAACTCTTATACTTGTTGAAAATGCTTAAGAGTTATAGTGCACCCAAAAGTGATCTTAAGGTTGTTATATTGATTATTAAATCATTGAATAAGGTGCCCAGGTATGACAAGCTATAGGGAACTTAACACAAGCACTGAAGGCACAGCGTAACGATATTGAAATAATACAGAAGCGGGCTAGCTCTAAGGATAATCTTTCCTGAATGTATATAGTAATCGTGCGCTACAAGATTACAAGAATGTAAGTCGAAGACCGCTATAAGAACGTACTGAGAGAGTTTATGTGTTGACCTTTATAAAAGAAGATGTCACAGCAGTCGCACAAATTATATAAACTGCTCCCTAAACTAAGATGCTCTGAGGTGAAAGTAAGGGAAACTAGAACTATAACCCGGAAAGATTTTATAACAATATCCTTCAGTAAAACTGAGAGATTTAAGCGTAGTCCGGCGCTGGTGTATGCAATAGATATCATAATCTAAATATCACAAGATAACAAATCCTGACAAGTTAATTGATTGGTCAAATTTGACGTATTAATTAAGGTGATTGGTAAAATTTGACGAATATAACAAAACCGAAATTTTCAAAATGCGGCTAGCCGTTTTGTGGAAGTTACGGATAAAGAAATAAGCGAAATTAAAATAAATTTAGTCCCAACTGAAAACATAAAAGACTTATGTAAAAATACTAAAACAATTATTCGCCTCAGGCAGTCAGGCTCAGTGATTATCAGGGAATATTCACCTCGACTTCGTCTCGGCGAATATTCCCCGATAATCACCTCGCCTTCGGCGAATAATTGTTAAATTACTTAAATATAGTGTTAGATATAGATTATAGAATATAGTGTAATATTTATCATAGTATACATTAACCTAATAGACAATTCCCATTATAGACTAATTTTAAAACTATGCAAAGATATGCAAATGAATTACCACAGCTAGAAAGAGCATACTAAAATGAGTAGGCCCTGTCACACTATTGCGTATCGTACTAGCGTATGCCAGCGTATGAAAAATATCACTCATACGCCGGTATACGCTGACATACGTTAGGGGTACGCCGGTTAGGCAAAGGTTGTATACGTTTCAAGCACGGTCGCGTACGGTGGCAGCTGGTGGCGTACGCTGGCATACGGCGAGGCAGAAATTTTTTTTAAGCATGCTCAAAAATTTTGTGCGTACCGGACGCATGCTTTATACGATAAACATACTCTAGGCACACCAGATATACGGTACTCATACCGGAGGTATGCCAGATGTACGGTACTCATACGCTGGCATTTCAAAGGATTTTTGTGCGTATGAAAATTATTTTATTAATTTTCATACGCTTCTCATATGTTTCTCTCATACGCAATAGTGTGACAGGGCCTTTAGTTGCGAAATGTTGTAAAATGCGGAAAATACAGCCTTGCAAAGTTTGCAAATTTTGTATGCTTTCTTTTGTATTGCGTGCGGAAATTGCTACCATTTTCGGCCCAAATATGGTTTAAGGCTCAATTTTTTCAAACTGTAAACACATTATAATTTAACGTAGTTGCTATTAATATGTGGAAATAAAGACTGTTATCATTTACCATATCGAAATGATCAAGTTGTCTAATTAAAGAAAAAGAATTAACAAAAGTTTGTAATACACCTAAATACGACTAAAACTGATTAGAAATACATTGGGGTCAGAAGTGCTAAACAGAGCCGTATGACTGATTTTGCCGTTCTTTTAATCGTGGTACTCAAAATAACCTGTTGTCTCCAGCTAGAGGTATATTCTAGAAACATTAATTTTATTTCAATTAGATGTTTGCATCACTGCAATTAATCTCCCGGTAACCTTATACCTATAAATTCACTGCACTTAAACAACTAAGAAAGCTTTAAAGAATTATTGTTAAAGTGCTTATGCAACGAAATTTCATACCATTTTTTTATGATTCATTGTAAAGAAAATTCAAAATGACTAATCAAATATCACTTTCTGAAAAAACTTTCATAACTCTTATAAAAAATCGATTCAAATTTATCGACATATAAGATATATTAGTAGTATATATATATATATATACGTTGGTATAACATGTACATATATATATATACGTTGGTATAACATGTACATATGCCATATGCACGGTTTTATGAATTCGATGCACGATATCCCAAGATCTTGAAGTGTTTTCCAAAAAGTTATTATGCAATATGACATCATAGTAAGGATAATTTGCACACCAAAAATGCTAAGAGAGTTTGCTAAGAGAGTTTGGGAAAGTATCTTATTTGGTCATTTTAACTGAATTTTCCTTACAATGCAATAAAAATGGTGTGAAATTTCGTTGTATAGGCATTTTAATAAAATATATTCAATATATGGGCTTAGTAAAACTTAGCACTAGACTTTGTTAAAAAAGATTACGAAATTGATACTGACGAGTTAATTGGCTCTTTTCAAAATATTTTTTATCATCAGTCATGTTCCCTCAGTCAATGCAAAAGTATCATGTTTTCCACTTTATTATATATGTATAGTCTATAGATAGACAATTAAGCTTCAAATCAATACTAATATACTTGACAAACTTGTGTCTTAGTCTTTATTCAGGCTTTCATCTGAAGAGCTTCTATATTGATTGAAATGTCACTTTCAAAAGACTTTAAAAAACTCTATCAATATTTTTTTAACCACGGCACGGAAATATATATAAAAGCTCCGCATTTGGTGATATTCCTATTTGTTTAGTTTTCATTCCGTTTGGCTCATCCGAAATGAACGCTTTAGCAATCGTCTCCAGTCTGTTGCTTCTCAGTGTCGTCTTGCTAAATTGTCATTCCATTATTGCAACAGGTAAGAAAGTATAATAATTCTTATTACTAGCTTTGAGCGGAAGGAATTTTACAGTAAGCTGCAAGTCTTGAAAAACTCACGAGTGCATGGGTTGATTTATTTTATTAAGTTATACATTCATTATATACCATTACACACATATGAACTGCACTTTTCGGGAGACGGAGGTTTTGGCTTTTTGCTCTGACTGGTGGAAACCAATCTGATGTCGGTTGTACATGTCACTATACGTACGCAGCTGACTGACTATAGCTGTTCATATCATGCAGAAAACAATTTATAATTAAACTCTTGTTAAAGATTCTGAAGTCTGAACCATTTTTTCCCGGCCAGCTCCCTGCAGTGGAAACACATTGCAATTACAGGTGTACTTTAATCTCTTTGTATATTATTTTTTCTTAACTATATAGTTAAGCAAATTACTTCAAGACCTTATATTAACGTAATATAGACTGCTCCATGCTTAAACTTGCTGGGAAACATTTTCATGTTCTATCCACACCATTCATCAAAGATGGAAACCACATGTAATATAGATTAAAGTGCCAAATTGCTGAGCCGAACACGAAAACCAGGAAAAACCCTTCGGGAAACGTTCGGAACGTGTTCTCCGTCCCATGCTGCAGCGACGCTTCTGGAGGTTCAAGCAAACACTTTCCTTATCATCTTGTTCATCTGATATTCTTTCAATGTTGCTTAATTCTTCTTACTGCAATATGAAACCATGCAATATTAAACACGGGCGAACTTTTAAGCTATTCTTAATCAAACCTATTACTCTAATCCTAATATCCCAACTCTTTCCTGAGTTTCCTCAACTTAAAATTCTTATGCCAATTTTAACCAAATACTACAGAAATGTGCGTATATATATAGTTATTATGACGTCTTTTGGAACATACATGTATATTCTCCTACAAAAATAGCCAATATAGTTACTAGCTTACATGATTTGTGTCGTACGATACTTTTGTAATTACTTATGTTGTTGTAATTTTGACTGTATGTTATTTTGTTGTTGCATGCATGTTATTGAAGTTGTTGATGATATTGTTGGTGGTGTACTTAGTGTTGGTGGTGGGTGTTACTGGACTGCCTTCTTCCCTCAAAACTGGTCTGTAAGCTAGGCAAAGATTCCCGCCGAATTATAAAAGCCTATTTTGTCTGTATAATTGAGTGACGGACTGACGGTTATGTGCACGTAGTAAAACAGTAGTAAAATGTGTCTGTATAATCGAGGCACAACCTGTAAATGACTGAAATAGTAATTGCTCAACAGTGACATACTGATTAAGGCGCGCGTATGGATTGATGGAGAAATTCCATAAATGGGACTGATGAACTGATGGATATAGATTGAGTAGGGGGATTTGTTTATAAAGCTGTAATATTCCCAGATATAAGATTATAATGAATACATGAAAATGAGGCTTGTTAATGATAGAGGACCCCTTATCAATTGATATTGGAGCCTATAGTCGGCTATAAAACACACTGTTTGTTCGAAGAGACTCTAGAATATTAGGTAAGTGATTAAGTGAGTAATTACCCGTCTTTTATAGTTTTTAGGCCCTTGACCCCTGCGTGTGCGGAATAAAATTCGTAACTATGGTGGAAGAATGTCCATTCCGAGAGGGAAGTTTTCAACTGAATGTTCAAAATATAAACTCGGAGTTCGCTTGAGTTTAAGGTTAATGTTATGGTTAGGATGCATAGGGTTAGGTGTATATATAGGGTAAGATTTAGGATTGTTGTTATAAGGTCGTTGGGTTTTAACGATCTTGAAAAATAGTCGCAATCTTGAAAACCTCATCATGAATGCCTCTTATCCATCCTCTTCAGCAACGACCATGATGGTGATGATGCTTCCGCAGACCGTAAATGAATTCCCTAATCTCTAAGGTTAGAAAAACCATGCGGACGAGGTAGAGTCTGGAACAACAGTCTTTCAACACTACTTATATTTTTTAATGTTTCTTTCTTTGAATATTCTATTTTTTCCAATCTATTGTATATACACACACGCTAGTGATTACAGTAACTCAAAATTATATATACACTTTTACAAAACATGATATAACAATTAACATAATTATGGATGATGAGTAAATTATCAATTACATATAGCTATTATCCCGTATTAAATTTAATAGTATAAGAAAGATATGAAGAATTATACAAATCATTACGTATACTAGTACTTTTAGTGTAATTTGGTTTGTGAAGTGTCAGATTAGGTAAGGATTAGGGTCTCTAATCCTAATCCTTACCCATTCCTAACCCTAAATAGCTAACTCTTAACCCAACTCTAACCATAGACTGAGATTATAAAAGAACAAAGTGGGTGTTATCATGTGGCTTCAATTCAAGTACCTTCAAATATTTAATCCTGGTTCACTTTAAAACATTTCTACCGTTCCGAAACTTGTTTTGTAAGCCCAGGTATTGTTAATTTTGAGCGTTTAGTCTGTGCTTGAACTATGCTAAAACTGGAAAAAATCGATGTTTTCAGAGTATTATTGTCGTCGCTGTACCATCCGGTAGCGAGATTTTATACATCCGGGCAACGAGATTTTAGCTAATCAGATAGCGTAATGTGCTCTCATTAGGAAGCTTCAATTTGTCCCTCGATCTTTCCCGCAATGCCCACTGTATTCTTAGTATAATCTCTATGACTCGACCATTCAATCAGAAATTATGACTCTTAAAAATACCGCTAAAATTAGCAAAGAAGATTGACTAGCCTCGTTTTGATGCTTTCTGCACATTTCAAGCGGCTGTAATTTTGCATGCATGGATTGTTTCAACCGTTACGCTCTCACACTTCGCTTTAAAACTGTTTATTAAATATACAATAATGCAAAATTATGGCGGCTAGTACGTTTTCGCGAATTGGTCAATAGAGAAGAATGAGCAGCGCTAGCGGTCCAAGAATAGAACCCTGCGGAACTCCCGTTTTGATAGTCATCTTCCTCGATTGTCTATATTTAACAATTTCCTCTTGTAATTAATATTAGAACCATTTCAAGGTTAACCCTCGTATCCCATAGTGTTCAAGTGTTCTTTATAAGAATTTCATGATTGACATGCAGTGCCAAAAGCCTATATCTAGAACAAGGAAAATGCCAACAGTATATTCAAGGACGTAGCGAAGACTTTGTTGTTGGGCGGGGTGTATGGGAGTAAGGGTTCAATTAAATTACCTGATATACTGCATATTTCCTTCATCTATTACTTTGGAGATTTCGTCAGTTAGTTCTAATATTGTATGCTTGGTTGACTTTTTTTCCCGAAACCATATTGATGTTTTAATTTGTTTTAATAAGATTTGATTCTCTCAATAAACTTAATTGGTCTGTTGTTAGTTTAGAAATACATGTTAAAACAGATATTGGTCTATAGTTTTTAAACTCTGACTTTTCGTTTACTTTGAAAATGGGAGTAACCATGCAGGTATACTAACTTATGTAAACTTTTTCGTAACTTATAGGTATACTCCCGGTATACTAGCTATACAAAAAATGCGTTATAGCTATCAACCATAGCGAAGAACATAGTTGTTGATTTTAATGCCTTTCAAGGTTTACACGGCACGTCCAGTGGTGTAGAACTGAAATGATAATTAGCGGGGCTCTCAAAGGGGGCAGGGGGATAAGATGTACGTTCCACAGAGGATTGCGGGCTCTGGTTTCGAGATTGGTGTCACACCCTGACACCAGCCTCGTCCCAGGCGCTTTGGAAAGTTCCAGTGCTATTTCAGATTTCACAAATGATCTAATGTTTGGAGTTAGTAGTTGAAAATTCTAAATTGGCTTTTAGCGCGCTCAATGAATGGCCGCCATTTTGAAATTTCAATTATTCTATATCTTTTTTGTGTGTGTTTTGATGTTATGTACTCAGGTGAATATAATGTTTTTGATGTTACTCTGAGTGTATATCCACACCGGGCAGGCTGAAAAGTTAGCCTGACCACGGTGGGAATCGAACCCGCGACCTTTGGGATACTAGTCCAATGCTCTACCAACTGAGCTACGAGGCCAAGTCTGTTCGAGTGTGTGGTGTTTCGGAACTAAGTCTAGTACCTTCGATACCAATGTATTCTATGATCATGATATTTTTTTTGTGTTTTGATGTTATGTACTCAGGTGAATATATTGTTTTTGATGTTACTCTAGCTCTGAGTGTATATCCACACCGGGCAGGCTGAAAAGTGACACATTATATTCACCTGAGTACATAACATCAAAACACACACATTGGTATCGAAGGTAGTAGACTTTAATAGTTCCGAAATACCACACACTCGAGCAGACTTGGCCTCGTAGCTTAGTTGGCAGAGCATTGGACACTAATCCCAAAGGTCGCGGGTTCGATTCCAACCGTGGTCAGGTCGTCAACTTTTAATTTCAGCCTGCCCGGTGTGGATATACACTCAGAGTAACATCAAAAACATTATTTTATTTATCATCGCTCCATGAAATGCTTGAATCCACCAATATATGCCAATGCTATTTGTGGATCAGTGTTGTGTTTCCACCATAAAATCTGTTTTTCCACTAACAGATTTCTAATTGTCAGGTCTTATAAATATAATTGTTGCCGCTTCGATTCAATGTAATAAACGCATTAATATCACTGTACTAATTAAGTATTCTTCTGATAATGATCACACTAAAATATTTACACTGTAAAGTCATTAATCAGTTTAATCTAATTCAATGCTCGTCACTAATTGGTTAAATGGCTATAGCACATTATCTAGCACAGTAGCACAGAAAAAGGATATTATTGCTTTTGGAAGAAAATATGGTATTTGGAAAAAGCAGGGGCGTAGGAACCGGGGTGCACGTGCCCCCCCCCCCCCAATGCATGACTTAGAAAAGTCTATTTATCAGCGTAGGTATAAAGATTGATTAATTGATTCCTATGACATTATCTCGACGAAAGATACCGATCTCCGTACTTTATGTCCGTGCGGACATGATTAATTTCATATATACCCTTCCATTTCTATTGTAGGACAAGTAAGTACTAGCTACACATATCTGTTCACAGAAGACGCAAAACTGGACAGATTTGACAAGTTGCCTTTAGAACGCAAAGGACGATGTCGAAATGAATTCTTTCCAAGAAGCTATTCACAACGTTACGTTGATGTTGGACATACAACTGGTATTCTGACGCTTACAAGGCACCTTCGCTCGCTACGTACGGATGCACACGGCATCAGAAAATTTACAACAAATATATTAGTTGTTAACAAATGTTCAGTTTATAAAAGTTCACCTCAAGCCAGATATCGTACAATAATCAGCGTAAAGTTGATTATTTTCCCTGTGAACTTTGGTGATCGATTGTTAGAGGGTTATTCCAATGGAAGAATATCTTTCAAGGTTCGTCAGAGTAATGCGTTTCAAGGCACAAGTGGCCCAAGCTCTTTGCTTAGATTTGTCAGACTTGTGACGCCAAAAATTGAACGTAAAGCATTTGATCAAATGATATCATCGATCAAGGTGAAGAAAACGCTCGAGGTCGTGATTAATGAAATCGTGACGAAGTACGTCAATACTTCAAGTAAGTTTATCATAGTAAACACAAATACATTTTTGCCGTCATCTTACTGAGACTCTCGCAATAGTCCTTCATCTTTGTAGTTTCTTGCAATAAAAGACTAAGGAATCTGCGGAAGTCAGTTAAGTTTTGCTAGGCGCACTAGACTTCTAGGGCTTACGTATAGTCCGCTCTGGTGCAAAAGAGTTGTTACTCGACCCAACCCTTACTCTTTACTCCTTTTGAACATCATCCTCCACCAGCATCTTGTCCATAACAGTCTGTAAACAGACTGATCAGTTCATGCCATCATAATTCATTTATCACATATTCTTATAAATGCCCATTGATGATCACCAAACCATCTCACTCTTCCTTTGTTTACTTTGTGCTACTGATTATTTCAATAATTAAAATTTTCTATTCTTTCAGGAAAACAAGTGTACTATAGCTGGTATATCAATTCGTTATTTTCAAGTACTGAACTGAGGCGTTTGGCGAAAAAATGCGGATGTAATCAGAACAAAGCCGTAAAGTGTCCAAAGAATGCTGAATATCGTACAGTTGATGGCACTTGTAATAACCTTCGTAATCCTTTGTTTGGTTCTGCTCCTAAACCTTTAAACCGTTTACTCCCTGCAAAATATTACGACTCTGAAGGTCTCAATGACCCCATTGGATTCCCAGGTCAAGCAAATGTTCCAGATATACCCTCAACATTCAAAGTAGTACGTGAGTTTATCATCCAGCAAAATTCTCCCTCAACTTATATTTATATTAACTCTCATGCACTCATGCAGTTTGGGCAATTTTTGGATCACGACATAAGCCTTACACCAGAAAGCCAAAGTTCTGACAATTGTCAAAATGTGAAGTAAGTTACTGCTGTTGTTCAGTATTGTTGTTGTTGTTGTTGTTGTTGTTGTTGTTGTTGTTGTTGTTGTTGTTGTTGTTGTTGTTGTTGTTGTTGTTGTTGTTGTTGTTGTTGTTGTTGCTGTTGTTGCTGTTGTTGCTGTTGCTGTTGTTGCTGTTGTTGCTGTTGCTGTTGTTGCTGTTGTTGCTGTTGCTGTTGTTGTTGTTGTTGTTGTTGTTGTTGTTGTTGTTGTTGCTGTTGCTGTTGCTGTTGCTGTTGTTGTTGTTGTTGTTGTTGTTGTTGTTGTTGTTGTTGTTGTTGTTGTTGTTGTTGTGGTTGTTGTTGTTGTTGTTGTTGTGGTTGTTGTTGTTGTTGTTGTTGTTGTTGTTGTTGTTGTTGTTGTTGTTGTTGTTGTTGTTGTTGTTGTTGTTGTTGTTGTTGTTACTGTTGTTGTTACTGTTGTTGTTATTTCGGTGAATTGGTGGTGATAGATTGACAAAATATAGCGGAACAACTGATGCTATTATCTGAACCACTGATTCTATTGACATCCTGTGGAGTTACCTTGATTGTATTGTAAATAATGAGGCATTTTGGCAATGAAAACTTAACATTAACCAAAGCGTCATTCAACCGATACAACTCTCCGTTTATTTCAGATGTGACAAATCATACAACGATTATGCCGTACCATGTTACACTATCCAATCACTGGGCAAAAACCGATGTATTCATTTGGGAAGAGCAGCAAGTGAATGTCAAATTAAAAATGGTCGCATTACGACACGACAACAAATTAATGTTAATACAGCATTTATTGATGGCTCGCAGATCTATGGATCTACTCATGAACTGGCGAAAAATTTGAGAGATTTGACAAGTAAGTACTATCACTGTATTAGCCCATTGCCTACAAACAGGACTTTTATTTTTACAGTTTTGCTCTGGCAAACACCAGACCATTTTACTCGTCAAAATTTAAGAACTCATGAATTTCACATGAATTTCTTTGATTGATAGACCTAGCTGTGATATCATCATCACAGATAATAATTACTGACTGTGTTATTGTAGCTCTGAGCCTCTGACTTCAGACTTGGACTAGCTAGATGAGTTATGAGTATTATGTGAAACATGGCGAAAATACTGTAAGGATATGCTGCAAATATATGGTTTTTCTCAACATATAACTTTCTTTATGATTTACTAGACGACAAAGGCCTGATGAGAACACAGCCAGGAGTAAATGGCGACTATATGCCAGCAGACAATAGTGAACTGATGGCTCCTAACAGTTTCTGTCACAAATTTGGAGGATGTTTCTTAGCTGGTGACACTCGATCTAGTGAACATACGTTGCTTGCAACTATGCATATTTTGTTTGTTCGAGAACACAACAGGATAGCTCGAGCTTTACGAAAACTCAACCCACATTGGGATGGCGAGAAAATCTACCAGGAAACAAGAAAAATAATTGGTGCTGTGTTGCAAAAAATCACGTACGAAGATTTTTTACCAATCGTTCTTGGAAAACCTCTGCCAAGTTATCAAGGCTATAACTCAAAAGTAAATCCTGATGTTCTTAACTCGTTTTCTACAGCAGCATTCAGATGTGGACACAGTTTAATAAGACCATCATTTGATAGACTTGATGCAAATTACAATCCAACAGGGGACCCCTTACCATTACGTCATCTCTTTTTTAACAATACCTATATTAAGAAACGCGGCATAGATGAATTAGCTCTTGGTCTACTCAGCAATTCTTCACAGGGAGTGGACCGAGAACTTGCAGTTGGAGTGTTAAATCATTTATACGAACGTCGGCATTCTCCAGGTTTAAACCTGGCTGCAATAAATACCCAGCGTGGCAGAGATCACGGTTTACCTGATTATAACGCTTTTAGACGACATTGTGGTTTGAAAAGTGCGAAGACCTTCAAGGATACATTCAACGAAATTGCACTTCGGCGAAATAGACGACTTTTAGCTAAGCTTTATAATAACAAACCTGAACTTGCCGATTTATGGGTGGCAGGTTTAGCAGAAACCCCAGCAAATGGTGGGATTGTCGGAGCAACATTTGGATGTATCATGCGAAAGCAAATGACAAGAGCAAGAGATGGAGACAGGTATTTCTACATGAATAAAGGAATGTTTTCACAACAACAGTTGAAAGAAATTAGGAAAGCGTCGTTGTCGAGGATTATGTGTGACAATTTGAGAAGCATTGTTTCAATTCAGAAGAATGCATTCATATCAGGAAGAAGAAGCAACCGTCGTACTGAGTGTGGTAATATTCCTGGTATTGATTTGACACCATGGGAAGGTAAGCACTACTAAAACCTGGTTGTTTTTATCACATGAACAAGTCATAGGCATTTAGCTCATAGATATCTTATATACATTAGATAGTGCATCTAATTATTCTGCAGTTCAAAAATTGAAGCCGTGATTGCAGACTCAGGATATTCCCATGAAATGAGAAGACTCGTATCTTTTCCAGTTCTTAAAGGAACTTCAAAAACTCATTAATAATTCATGAAGCAATTATCCAATCTTGAGTAAGAAATTAGTCACGTGCATACGTCTTTATACCAGCTAAAGAACACTTTAACAAAAGACCTTTGTTATGCAAACTATATAAAGATTTTTATATAAAGATTTTTATATAAAGATTTTTATATAAAGGTTTTTATATAAAGATTTGCCTTATTATGCAAACGTTTTTGAAGCCATTTAAAAAACTCGCGGGTCGTGTTTTATTAGGTCTAAAGCCACTCGCGCTGCGCGCTCGTGGCTTTAAACCTAATAAAACACTCCTGCTCGTTTTTTAAATGGTACTTAAACATTAAGTTAAACCTATTCCAAATACATTTTCAAACTATTCAAATGATGAAAGTTATTGTTGTTTTTTAAGCGTTTATTGGCCAACAACAACATGGCCGCCATCTATTCAAATGGGGATAATCGCTTTTACCCCATGATCACAGATATTATTCACATTACAGGGTGTATAAAAAAAAACTGGACAGATTTGAAATTGCTCTCAATTTCGCAAAACACCTATTTGTATCTGTTTTTTTAAATATATAGCTTCTTTGGGTACTTATATAATGTAAAATAATGAAAAAAATTTCTCGAACTCAAATTTTGTGAACCAGGGGGGTGTGTCTTTTCCAACAAACTAAAAATGGCTCGCGCACAAAATTTAAAAGCTGTAATAATATTTTGAGTTGATAGATTGAAAATCTGTCGGGTTTTTAATTACTGTACAAAATTTCAGACAATTTGGCTTAGTTTAAGCCCTTTAACTATTCATTTTGTTCTAAAAAGTCAGCCTTTCGCATGCTTAATTAATGCCTTTACCTAATTTGCATATTGCTGACATATGCAAATTAGGCAAATGCATTAATTAAGCATGCAAATAGCTGATTTTTCGGGAAAATTGTAACTTTGCGTGAATAGTTAAGGGGCTTAAACTAAACTAAATTGTCTGAAATTTTGTACAGTAATTAAAATCCCGACAAATTTTCCATCTGTCAACTCAAAATGTGATTGCAGCTTTTAAATTTTGTGCGCGAGCCATTTTTAGTTTGTTGGAAAAGACACCCCCCCCTGGTTCACAAAATTTGAGTTCGAGAAATTTTTTTCATTATTTTACATTATAAGTACCCAAAGAAGCTATATATATATATATATATATATATATATATATATATATATATATATATATATATATATATATATATATATATATATATACAGGGTGTATAAAAAAAGGGTAATCGAATTTCAGCGCGCTATTATACGTGAATTACTCAGCGTATGAACAATTAGTTTTCATATTCGGAAAGATCAGGCTTTTAGCTATTGAATAACATGCTTTTCATGCCAAGTGGAGAAAAAAATAAGCATGTACGAGGCCGATTGTTAAAAATGTCAGTCAAAATCGCATATTTTCACCTCTGTGCCTAATTAAAACAATGCATAACAAAAGAAAAAGCATGCATTAATCACGAACGTGTCGTAGCTTAACTAAGATTTATTCCTACTTTAATAATAATTATGAATATATATATATATATATATATATATATATATATATATATATATATATATATATATATATATATATATATATATATATATATATATATATATATATATATATATATAGTTTTTCGCTTTACCTCAAAAAACCACAACAGTCTGTTTCATCCGTATAGAAATCATCAGGTGGTGAATAATTTCGAAATTGTAGGTTGCTTTTATGCTATCGAAAGAATGTTCGGAATGCGTGTAGGCGAAACAATGCTTAGGTGAAACAATGCATGCTTGGGTCATTAGGTTTTGTTAACGACCTTGTTTACTCGAAACCGGTTTTTGTGACGACATTTGCTGAAAATTTCGCTTCTTTTATTGAGTAAATTGTCTTTGTTTATGTCTTTCAAAATGCAAAATTTTTCTTCCAAACATAAATTGCAGCGTTTTGATCCCCCTGTGTACGAAATAGCGTGTTTTAAAATTGAACATTTGATGGTATAATCCTGATTGTTTTCTTTTAATTTCCAAATATGTTTCGAAAGTTCCGTTTTGTTTGAGTCTTTTTTATGACGAAAAGATGAAGTGTGGTTAGCGTAACGTTCCTTAAATGGAGTCGCTGTCATACCAATGTAGTGTTTAGTGTCGTTCGTGTTGTTGGTTGTGACTGTTGCTTTGTAAATAATGTTGTTGGTCATGCATTGTTTCGGTAGTGGGCAAGTGTTTTTGTTGTCGCAGTTACAGTTGTCAGTTTTCGTATTCTGTGATTGACTGTTCCTAATTATATGTGCGTTGTGTTTGGTGATTATAGACTTAACGTTGTTCATGCAACTGTAGCTTACTTTTAAAGTGTTTCTGTTAAAAATCTTGTGTAGTTTGTGCTGTAGTGGGAAG